TGCCGTTTTCATAAATCATCGCTGTCGCCTCTTAACGGCGCGATACAAATTGGGGCACTTGAGTTGCGTCTGATAATAATGACAGCGCTTTCTCTTCGAGTATCACCGGTGCGCATCAGGCTTTTCGTACAGTCATACGTCACACGAATGCCGGAGAAATTGAAAATCTTCCTTAGATGGAGAACACATCGCGCTCCGATCAATCAACACGTAATATCTTTGATAAGTTACGCCGTAATTTCCATCCGCGGGTCGCTCTTAAAAAACGGAGGCAAAACGAGACGCATTTTCTTAAAGTCATTCTCGGATGACTTGCGGTTGCATTTAACTTCATATCGAGTTACTCGCTATCTTTAGCATGTCCTGACACTTTTCTATTTAGTAGACGGTGAAAACACAGTGTATCGAGAACATGTTACGCGCAAAACGCGTTGTCACGTTAGCCGTTATTCCTGTCCACACCATGCAACGCAGACACAATGCTTTACAATCTCCCACGTCCCGGCAGCTAGATCGCGGTTACGACAATTATAGTCTTCGGCTGGCCATTTCTAATTAGAAATTCCGGCGAAACGGCGCGTTTGTGAAGGAGAGTGATTTAACACGCGTGAGCGCGGGACACACGGGATGAGACTCGAGTCGACGAAATTAAGAAAACGGCGAGAAGGACACGTCTCTCGCAGACGAGATCGCGGAGTCTCGTCTGCATGATAATTGGCCCAGGTCTCAGCCACTGTTTCTCTGATAACAGGTTCTCTGGTTTCGGTGCACCGTTTCCAGCGGCGGTGGCGGCGGTCGTATCGCGCGCATGCGTCCCTTTTCTGCTCCCTCTTGCCCCCGTGGACGTCTCTTCTCTTCTTTGAGAGGTCGTAAAGATAATGCCCACATGCTAGCCCGGCAGCATCAGCACGGAAAATTTATCCAGATTCCATTTCAATGGAGATCGTTCGGCGCGATTAATTAACTCGACGGACGGACGGATGGACGGACGGACGGGATCGCAGCGGCCATCATGAGGGCTGGCTCTGCTGGCAGGGCCCTATTGTCGTTGTTTACGAGCAACGTCTCTCGCGCCCGTCTCTCGAGGAATCGACACGAGGCTCCATTTACACGGGATAATTAGAGCGGACTTTTCATCGCACGGACAATGCGCGCGCGTATCCGAATCGAAAGGGGATTAATTTACCGAGTAAACTGAAACGCGTCGTGTAATTAGCGGCTGTTACATTGTTAAACATTTCGAAATATCCCTCAGATATTTTTTATATGTCACTAGAATTTATAAAACTTTTGACTCTATAGAGGTAAAAATGTTAGGGAAAAAATGGTGCGAGGCGATGTTTGTCGCACGATGTCATTGTGAAGAGATTAGGATTTTAAAAGGAACTCATAAGGCTGACGGAGACCTCCGAAGGCCACTCAGGTGCATCTAACAAATAAGACACAATTGTGCTTCGCTCTCTTTAAGTTAACTGCGAGTCTGGTCAATCCGACCGGCGGTTTTTCCTCGTTCCAAATATCTCTGTCTTTACGATCCATAAAGGGACGAACCTCACTTTTAGTGGCTATTACACGAATCCCCCGACTTGGCGTAACATTTACGGCTTATGCACCGTGTGCGGCAGTCGTTAAAACACATCGCTCGGTCTATATGCTCTCGGTGCGCGAGAGCTCTGTTTACGTTTACGATTAGGCATATACATTCTGCCATTTTCCTCTCCCCAGTGCTCTCTAGCGACGATGATATATCCAGCATCATCATCGTTAAAGTATACTTTTAATTAGAACAAGTAGATTTTAAAATTTTATCTCTCTCAAAGCTTACAATAATTTTAAATACATTTCCCTTGTTTCATTTTATTCCTAAATTTTTAAAAAGGTGAAAGAAAAACTGTGCGGCACGTTGTGCAAGATCCTTAATTCGATCTTGACTCGATTTAACTCTTTCGTACGTGTACACAGCGAATACGATGTATGGAAGGTATACGAGAGCATAGGATCGCTGCGTCGGCTCTTTGAGAGGAGTCTCGCGTAGGCGCGCGCGCGAGTCCGTTCAGACTCTCCGTATCTTTTCGCAGGGAATCCGCGACTTATTAGGCACCGACACAAGCTCAATTCGCGGCCTCTATTAATACGAGAATCGGGTTCGTTTGCCGTACTGATTATCTACGGACGATCTATCCATCAAGTCGATGTGTTCTTTTGCTTTGTAATTTTAGCCATGTTTTTGCAACTTTTTTTTAAAGGTAGCATCTTACGAACAGACAACATTTTCTTAAAGGACTCAATTTGTAAAATCAATTTTTTAAAGCTTATATATTAAGCTTATATTTAAAGCTTGTAATATATTGCTTTTCAGTATGCTTTTTTGCAGATTGTTGCCTCTGCACAATACAAAAGAGAAAGGAATGATTTATTCTTCCTGAAACAGCATAATAGACTTGTAAAAATACAAGGTCGTTCCTTCACTTAGAATTCACGATTCTGCTCTATTTGGCGACTATAATAAAACGATAAAGTAAAATCATGCCGACGAAAAGTAAGATCTCTCAGGGCCATTTTTTCCAACATCGATTAACGTTAACCGATTTATTAATAGAATTGCTAACATAAAGAATAAAATATCTTGATTAAAGGTGACAAGAATTTTAAATCTTTTTCTTTTTCGATGATCATATTTCATTCGTGTTAGCAATTCTATTAACAAATTGAAATCGTCGGTTAACGTTAACCGACGTTGGAAAAAGTGGCCCTCGGTATTTTTCCTTGGAAGGAGGAGGAAAGACCTTCATTTCCCGTGAATCTTATATATTTTACGTAATATTAAAAAAAAATTACGATACAATTTATATAACTCAAACTTGCAGGTATAATTCGAACAAACAGGAAACATTAGCTAGAGCTGGGCTACTTCTCTCTCTCTCTCTGTTCGACTATCTTTCGTCGGAATTTATTGCGTCAACGAGTTGATTATCAAGGAGGCGGTCAGAATTTACGCACCTGAGCGATCTCACGTACGACCGGGCGCTTTTATGCTTCCCTCGTCAGCGTCTATGAATATTAATAAGGCTGGCGATCGACGAAATCCTCAGCGCGCAGAGGACATTTTTTCCGAGGAACGCGGTATTATATTGAATTCAATTAATTACGTCAATTGATTCTTATCGCAAATAGGTTCATAGATGAGTCTAGTCTTGTAGTTTTGGCGTAGCTTATAATTGCGAAAAATGAAATATCGATGTTTTCTCACATAGTGAATACTAACATCCCTCTCCGTAGCTCTTCAGGCTCCCTTAATCCGTTTACATTTTTGCCTTAATTTCCAAAAGGCATTATATTCTTTTTAAGAAGACCGCGAGAAATCGCCTCTATCGATATATTGATAGGATCGCGAGCAGCGTGGTTCACGCAGCAAGAATTCCATCCCGCTCGCTCGATCTCCGTCTCACGCGCGTGTGCGAGCCATCGAGGTGCAGTTTGAGAGCGCGTTTTGCACGGAAATAATTACTCGCGGCAATTAACCCGCGTATGTAATTAACTGATAAATTTTGCGTTAACTGCTCTCCATTACGCGCGTTCGAGATTGATCGCTCGTGAGATGGGCCGATATTTAAATCAAAAGCAATTTATCGAAGTTTGTACGCGAGGTGCGTATAATATGCGTCCGCTTTCATGCGCGAACGTGCGAAATTGAGCGGTGGCTTGTCGAGCAGTCGAGTCTTTCAAGAATATCTCGGAATAAAAGAAAAGGTGCGAGTAGACGCGGAACATTGTTGTACACTTACGGAAAAAGCAGTTCTTAATACAATGTTTATGAAAAAAAAACATTAAAAAAAAAAAGTTTAATAAAAATTTTAAAAAATATTTAATCTAAAAATACTTGGCGCTGCTCCGTTTCAAAATGTTCTAAAATTAATATAATATTATATATAAATAACCGATTACATTAAACACTACTATGAAAGATTAGTAGACTTTACGTTAATTAACATGTTATTCAGTGTAGCAGCACCAAGTTTTTTTGGATTAAATATTTTTAAAACTTTTATTATTGAGATCCGATGATCTCGACTTCTCTCAACTCGTGCGCTCGCGTATAGATATTCGGTCTTTTCGTTGCGCTACGCGTAAACACGCTACCGTGTCTCTTGACATAACTCACACGTTACGAATCTATTATCCTTTGTTGCGATTGAAACTAATAAAAAGAAGAAGGAAACGAACGATCATTGCATCACGCATATTTGCGGCGGCTGTCGCTGGACCATATATTTACGGAACAAAAGTAGATTCCTGCGCGCGCGGGCTACAACTATCTGTAATTTTATTCTTCAATGAAACCGCGCCGTAAATCAGCGATTGGTCATGCTCGATTAGATCGCGTATTACGTCCGGAAACGTATTATTACATTTCGTAAATCCTTCATGCGTGCGCACGCCGTCGCGCATTATTTACCGTTAAATAGAACGTACACACATGTACTCCCCCGAGATAATTATCTGATATTATTTATTTACCGAGTAGTATCTGATCCCGTTGCACCGCGATGCTGGAAACCCGCACCGCCGTCGTCCCCGTCCGGAGAATTCCATTAGAAAGGAAAACGTAACTGTCGTGCGTTTCGAAACTTCCGGTATAATTAACGCACAGGTCGGTGCGCGCAGGCGGATTTCTCACCCACCACGGTTCCCTCGTTTGCTCGCGCGCACGCGGATGACATTAATAAACACCTATTACGGAGAGGACGTCACCGTACTTCATCGTAAAATTGTTCGCGGCGAGATGCGGCCGCGGACGTGGGAAATTATCGTCTTAAATCGGGACTCGCGAAGGCGGGAGGGAATTTAATTCAGTGAGACGTGCATATTAATTAATGAAATTATCTATTTAAACATACATCACTTGACAGCGCAACATTAAAGATTCTACAGCTCTCGAGCGAGGAATGTTGACGTCTCCATTTTCACCATCTTTAGGGAAAGAACGAAAAACATGAATATAGAGATTTGTTGGTAGAAAATTTATTTATTGATTTGTCAATGCTGTCTAAAGGAAGTAATTATCTTATCGTGCGCATTAATGAAATATTAAAGATCGTTATTTAAAGGGAATAAATCCCATTTCGGTATGCAATTGAATGATCGGCGATAGCAGCAATGTACTTACATTAGCAATTGCTAATAAACCATCAACTCTCGCAGCAGCTTTTATTGTATCGTAAATCATTCCGCCATGAATGTAGATAAAATGTCACTCTATGCAATACGATATCATATTTCGTCTAATGTACAGATCGTGTGTTGTAATTGCCGGAGTCGTTTTTCAGCGGTGTAGCAGGATACATTTCCAGTCGATCTGGTTAGAATAATAACTATTCGTGCGTACCGATAAACTGATCATTGTATCTTATCGAGGATATTATCGATATACAAGCGGCTATCGCGCGTGTAATAGTTCGATAATTATTGAACAGGTTGTCGTTCGCGTTCAGGACTGTATATTTTCCTAATCGCGACGCAAAGGAGCGATTCGAATCGATTTCCCATCCGCGTCTTCGCTCAGAGTCAATCCCATTTCTTGCAGTACAGAATTATCCAGCGTGCCCTCCTTTTTGCAACTTCGAATAATTTCTTGATTCTCGAGATTTCCTTCGCACACATTTCTCAAAGCGAGAATGGTCCATTGCAATATAACTGCGTAGAAATTGTGTCAGCGTTATAAGCAAACATATGGCAAGAGAGAGAGCTCGGACGATAAATAGAAATAAAATTATTATAACTTACGCGGATTCCTTGCGTCTATGTTACAGCAATCCAAAAGCAATGGAATTCCATCTATTTCGCGAAACTGAAAACAGATCATTAATGTCGTCATATTTTTTCGCAGATTATTTTTAAGAGACTCAGTGATGCGAAGAATATCACTTTGTTCGCGCATGATTGAATAATGCGGAATATAATTATTTCCGAGCGAATAACATATATTATAACTGACGATCAGCAAAAAAGCGTCTACACATTCTACTATTGTGGCAATGTACATGTCATCCTTGACATTGAGAGGCTGGATTGCTATTTCGCCCGCAGGCTTGTGTTTCTGCTCTGATTCATCCTAACTAATTTATCTGTCAATATGCCAGCGACATGGTCTTTGTCATCTCCCGGATTTGCTAAATTTACAACGTGTATCTCAGATCTCGATCATCTTGCTCGCTACATCTCTGAGGCGGACTGGATACTTAATTTTGTTTTGTCTGACGCGACAGGCCGCGTATGGCCTTTGTTCGCGTATTCCATATCATCCACACGCGAGATGTAATCAGCGAGACAGAAATATCGATTTCCTGTATTGCAGTACACAACAAAAGCCAAATTTATATTTTGTAACAGTCAAGATTCTTTACATTCTTATCAATAATTCATCATATTCTATTGAACAGTATTATATGCATGTAAAAAAAAATTAATACAACAATTATGTTCAGAAGAAAAAATCTATTATTAAATTAATAAGCGTTAAGAATGCATAATAATTGGACAAGAATTAGTTATATGTACTATTATTTTTTTATAAACGAGATTTATCTATTTATTATATATAATAATAACTTTTTTGTCATATCGATTATTATATATTGCAAACTAGCATTCTAATTCTTCTCCCGGCCACATCGCATCGTAAGAGGCGCACCTTGACGGTACGCCTGAATCAAACGTTACAGATCAGTAAGAAACGTTCTTTATCAACAGCAGATAAATTTTATATTCGTTTCTTTTCTATAGAATATTTAACAAAAAATTCATGTAATTGCACGTACCAGGTCTTGACACATTTTGTTTTTGTGTACCATATTTGCAATGACTCGTATTAGTCCCGCCTTAAAGCCATACGCAGGGTGATCTTGTGGATCGCACTTTGTTGTTCCTGCTTCAGATGTCCCAGCATCATTCGTTGCTGAATTAATTGCTCTTCTTTGAGCACTAGGTGCCACTTTACTTAAATTCGTTATTGGAGTGAAATTATTGTCCGATTCCTTTCCCATCATATGTAAGGACATTAAGAGATCTGTAAATATATTAAAATTATAGTTAAAAAATTGTATTAGTTTTACGTTTAATAAAATAAATAGCACACTTACATTTGCAGTTAATGAGTAAACATTTGGCATTTTTTGAAATCTTATGTTCAGTTGTAAGGAGTCCCAAAATGTTCAGGATAAGAATAATTTCTGTAGGATCTACACTATTTACGTACATATCCTCAGTTTTCAAAATAAGATCGCTTTTTTTGCAAAATGTTAGCGCTAAAAACTCAGCTTGATCATCTGTGAGCACTGTGCTAGGATCAGACTGCCAGGACTTCCAAAGTTCATTGTAGATAATTTCAAGTAAATCTAGTTTCTCACTTATCGCTATACTATTGTATACATTTACAAATGTTACATCTGGCTGATGCATTAGATGCAACAGTGTATCCTTTGCAGATGCAAGACCTTCTTTAACAGGTTTCATTAATAATTGAAAACATAGATCCTTTTCATCACTTGTGAAATAATTGCAATGTAACTTCTTCAACATGTTGTGTACATATATGCATGCTGCACTGGCAAGAGGTCTGTGATCACACTGCATACTATTCCTAAAAATAAAAATTATTTATTATATAAATATGTATAAAAATATTAAATATATCTATACTTCATTATGTATGAACTTACACAATAGCTTGTTTTAAATCATCACAACTTAAATATGTTAGAATTTTATCATCTGTAGACATTGCATCAGGACATGCATATGTAAATAAATTACATAAGAATTGAATGCTGAGTCTAAAGATATCCAATTCCTTGTCAGTCAAGGAATCCTTGGATTTATCACGAGTTCTAATATAATCTACAGCCCATTTTACGACTCCATCATAAGGAAAGTGAGAATCGTGTGGGTAGTTGCAGTCTTCTTTGTGCTCACACAAATTATTTTTAGATAATTTGTTATATAAATTTTTGTTATAATTATCAGATTTTATATTTTCCATAATGTGTTGTTTGTATTTGTAGCTGTCGAGGCAAGAGTTTCCCAAACATTTCAAACATAAAATTTTAATCACATCCGGAGCGGTTTCACTTACGAGCAATTGACATATCTGTGCTAAAATCCTTGCATCAGGCAACTCTCTGAAACATATATAATTATATCTTATAAAATTATTTATCTATTGATTAATGTTATTTCATACACACTCTGATTCCTGCTTGACAAAATGCTTTGGTTTGACGTTTTCTAATAATTGATTCCAATTTTCTTCATTTATAATTGTTCGTAATTCTTGCGAAGTAATATTGGTGTTCATTTTTAATAAATCATCACTATTAATTTCTCCTTTTTTTTTTTAAAGTGTCCCCTAGTTAGAGGAATATTGCCAACTTGGTTATGGCGTGCCTTTAACTTCTCCTTGGATTCATTTCTCCCGTACGCAAAGGTTAGATTTTTCGCACGTGTGAAATGACAGATCGGTAGAGCACGTGTATGGTTAGTCGTTGAACATGGTTGGTTTATATGTACAGTTCCTTGCGATGACGTACATTATTCTAGCCAATCTCAGTCGAACGAATCCTGGTTGATATATTTCAATAGAAATATGCCTAAAGATATTTTCTAACAGTACGCCATTGCCTCCCCACCATTGCATTTAATTGTTGAAACTCCACGATTCCGTGACTAGCGTTTGTGACAAGTCGGTATTTTGTATTTTACTCCACTTCTAGTAAAGACAAAGCATTTACAAGGTAATCCTATAATGCAGTTCAAGAACATAGTGTATTAAATATTATATTTGTTTCGATACTTGGAGTTTTATTCACAGAACATTTGATATGGTTTTGCTATGTCATTCTTGGTTAAGTGACTTATTTTATTTATTATTCTGTTAGTTCAAGTTTTTATTCATTTCTACCAATATCCAAACATTCTCCCATGCATTATGATTGTGTATATTAATAAATGTTTTCGTAATTTTATTGCTCTAATTTGTTCGCGTCATATATAATGGCACATAACCTCAAAACTAATATTGGAGGTTTTATAAAACTTCTCTTTGTTTTCAGATGTTTCTGACACGTTCGGAATACGATCGCGGAGTAAATACCTTTTCGCCTGAAGGAAGATTATTTCAAGTAGAGTATGCCATAGAAGCCATAAAGCTTGGCTCGACCGCCATTGGAATATCAACATCTGAAGGAGTGGTTCTGGTCGTGGAGAAACGCATTACTTCAACTTTAATGGAGCCGACAACTGTAGAAAAAATTGTAGAAATCGATAAACATATAGGATGCGCAGCATCTGGTCTAATGGCCGATTCGCGGACAATGATTGATAGAGCTCGAGTTGAATGCCAAAATCATTGGTTTGTTTACAACGAAAAAATGACGGTAGAATCCACTGCCCAAGCTGTATCTAATCTAGCTATACAGTTTGGAGATAGCGATGATGATGGTACTGCCATGTCCAGACCATTCGGTGTAGCAATGCTATTTGCTGGAATTGATGAAAAAGGTCCACAATTGTATCACATGGATCCATCTGGTACGTTTGTTCAGTTTGATGCTAAAGCTATAGGATCTGGGAGCGAAGGAGCACAACAAAATCTTCAAGAAGTGTATCATAAGGTAATTTATTGTTAACTTACTATTGTACTATATACTATTTACTATAAATTTATTATTGGATAAATTTGAATTATGCACTCGTTTATCTTGATATTGCATACTAGTAGAATATCATTATTACAGTCTATGACACTGAAGGAAGCACTGAAAGCTGCGCTGACGATATTGAAGCAAGTAATGGAAGAAAAATTGAACAATACTAATATTGAAGTGATGACGATGACTCCCGGCCAATTGTTTCATATGTTCTCGAAGGAGGAATTACAGGAGGTGATTAAAGATATCGCTTAAAAGCTTATCATATGTGTACAATTTATTACGGACAGTCATTACGCCGAGTTGCAGGGAGAATAAACGAATTTCTTACATGGAGCATAATTGTAAATTATATCTCCATTTAATATGCAACAAATGCTTTATTTCTGTATATTTAACACTTTCATTTATCATCTTTAGGAAGAAAATATTAAATAGAGAAAACATAGGGTGAATTTTATAATAGACTCCTATTTCATGTTGCATTCCTAATCTTCCTTTCGTATAAAAAGTATTCAAGTATAAAAATAAAATATAACTCGCTGATACATATTTCAAATATATATTCAAATGTATCAATATAATTTTTGGGTTTATTTGATTTAGTTGATAGATTTCAACAATGTGTCTAAAGAAGATCTCGTGAGACCAACAGCTGGTAACTCCTTTCCAATGTCCCAGCCATCTACCTCCCTCAACGGATGAACAGTCAACCAAGAAAATTATCCAGACACTCCTATACTTCCTATACTTCCTATTTCTTCCAAAATCCTGTATGTATTTTTATATATTGTTCCTATTTACTTATTTTCGTATTATCATAGCGTTCAGACAAACGTTGAATAAACTTTAATTTCAAGAGTCATGTTAGTCATGTTAGCAAATTGATATTTAATATAACGCAGCTGCGTTTTAGTCGCATAAATTTTTCTATAATGTATTTTTTATCTGACGTTACGTCGAGTATCTTGAAAATTAACTTGAAAAGAATGGAAACAAACAATATGAGAGGTGCAAAAACGATTTTGCCACGAGCTATGGTGGTAACACAGCGGGCATTTCCAGACCGATTCGTTGTTAAACTCGTAGCGGTCCGAAAATGGGTGTGCGACGGATGGCTCGTTCTCGATTAAAAGCCGTCCGCCGCGACTGAATGCGCGTATCCGAAATCAATAATTAATTTTGCCGGCTAGCCGAGAACGGGGCGGAATGGCTCCGAGAGCTTGGCGGAAATGGTCGGGCACCGCTTGGTTGGATGCTGCGATGCCCCGATAAAACGTCCCTTTTTATCCCGTTCTCTCGGCTGCCAGATTATTGGATATTATTCCATTTCAAGCGTTCAATCCCGCTACGATTCGCTCGCTTGGATTCCCACGGGGGGGTTTCCCTGTCGCCTATTGATTGCACTCTTAAAAAAAAAATATATATATACAATATATATATAAATATATATATATATATGTGTGTGTGTGTGTGTGTAACACTGTTGAAATTTGTGTGAATATATATTTTTGTCGTGCCATGCCTGGCGCATCCTGTATATTACACGAATCGAATCCATTAGTCGCGTAGAAAAAAACTTTGCAAATATATACCAGTTCTTTTCATTGCGCTTAAGGAACGCTTCGTTTAAGATTTATATCTCTCGAGCACGCTTAAGAGCGGTGAAAGTCTAATAACAATAATTGGTAGAAACTTTTAGCACGTGCCTTACGAACATTTGCAGTAAATGTTAAGTTTCAACAAATCAATATTTAAAAAAAAAGTGATATTTGCCACAGGAGGAAAGTAATTTTGAAAGCCCAACGTACAGATAATCTCTTCAGTTTAGAATCTATGAAAAATCATTTGTTCCTCACTGCGCAATGCAGTTGAACGATTGAGCGCGCGTTTTCGCGAAAACTGTTTCGGCCGAAAAAGAAACCCAGAACAATACGAAACGGTACGGTCGTGGATTATTGAGGATAGATCGCCCGCGGCGGTAGCGATATGGGTTCGACGAGGGAGACTAAGGGAAACGGAGCGAGAAAGAGAGGCTGATTCGAGCGCGGCTGAGAAGGACTGGTAATTAACTGCGATGCGAGGGAGGTAGCGGGATAGTCCCGTTTGAGTCCCTGAGAATCCCCGGGGACCTGACCCGTCGTATCAGACGCCAAACACTCACTCCCACACACCGAAGCCGAAGCTTCGTCGTTCTCGAAGCGCGCGCTGCCGCGTTGCAAGTTTCGCTACGATAATTGCCTTCGCTTCACAGTCGCGCCACCGACACCCGCCGCAGCGGACGACGGATAAGAGGGCCCGCCCTATGTTCCTTCCCCGAACAAACGTGGAACGGGGTTGGAACGTCGGAGTGGAAGTAGATAATGGCGCAGAAATTTCTAGTTTACGCGATTGGCTCCCCTTTTGTCACGGAAAAGCCGTCAAGCATCTCTCCCTGCCAGAAATGACTTTTCAATCTAAGCGCCGAGTGAAAATGTAGAGCAAATTTTTATTTACCAGCGCTTAATATCGAATAAGTTATTTAATTTCATTTCGACGCAAACATTCGCGTTAAAAATTCACTTTAATAGCTACTAATTTTCGTAAAAGTATTCGAAGAGCTGCGCGATTAAAAGATTTACTTTTGAATACAGTAATTGATAATTCGTTTTTATTGCGCACCGAATTATGAAACGATTATGCAAATCCGGAAATAAGAGCGTTCTCTCGTTCTTCCGTCAGCCAAACGAAATACGATGCGTACGAGACAGCAGGAGTGCGTTGTGCACACAGGAAACTTTCTTCCTTGCTATTACCAAAGCGCCGATAGAAAACCGGAAGTGCACGCGGCATCTCGGTGTAGGAAAGAGCTGATACCTATGCACGCCGGGCTATAATTCACGCATCGCAGAATCGTCGCCATTTTTTTCACTTTCACGGAGAGCACCGGTCGTTCGCCCAATGTATAAGCGTGCGGTCTCTCCACGCGTGCACTGCACGTGCACACATTCACGTCAACGATCGCGCTTACCGTTTCGCGATCGTTTTATCCACCACTAACTAATCCCCTGTCGTTAGGTCGTTACGTCGTGCTCTAATTACACGCTACCTAAGTACATCCGATATTAGAAATTGCATTTAATCGCGACAGGAGAGGGGAAAGAGATTTTGCGGTGGTCTTTTGAGTGTTGCATCATTATCGATTTCTCCCGTGTTCGATACATAATACTACAGCAATTTGCCATGATTTTTTTGCCTCGTATAAATAGACACGGAACCAAGATTTTATTAGCAACTAAACAGACGCCTGAGAGAAGCGGTGAAACGTTCGGCGGATTTTACATGTAACGTACAGCGGACGTTCTAATCTTTATTCGTATTTAATTACGTTTCCGCAAATTTCAATTAAAAAGTCGGGGCGACAACTGATAATATCGATAGGAGACCTGAGTAAAGCCGGCTGTCCATCCTGTGTAACGAAATAGGAAATACGTTCGTTTAATGTGGCCGACCTAATTTCATCATAAATATTTTATTTCTCACCTTCGTGGAGACGAATATCCGCTATAGAATTAAACGAATTAAAGTGAATTAAGGTGAATTCTATTTCGACGGAATATTAATAAACGGAGGCTGATGGAATATTAGCTTAATAATACCTAACCTAATAGTTAAAAATGAAAATAACTTCAAAAACTCGTATAAATTACAGTGAAGTTCTCGCGTCTTCGAATATTTGAAAGCCGCGAGACAATCTTTCAATTTTTAATCGGAAAAGATCGACTTGGTGAAAGGAGTGGCGATAGTTCTGGATGCCTCGTAGATATGCGTCGGAGTATGATCTGTGCGCGGTAGGCTCGACGGAGAAAGTAATGCTTTCCTGAACGCGACGCGTGTATCTGGTGCTCTTAATTGCGGTCGAGCATAAGGATTAAGATTCGCTTAAGAATCGAAAGTGCTCTCGCGGAAGTCCATGCAGATTTCTGTCTCGCGAGTCAGACTCGCGCAGATACACCTTTCTTCTTTTTTTTTTACCCGTGATTTTACAAGCGCGCGGTGTCGGACGACCGGAAAAGCGAACACGGCGATAACTTAACGATCTCCCGAGAGGCTAGCGTCAATAATACCGCGCTTTTACCGTGCTCGCTAGAGCGGAAGGCGAACGCGGAAAGGGTCGCTATAATTTACGAGCGAGTCTTGAATCGTACTTTTTGGACTCCGGTCTAACTTTTTTTTTTTTCGTCTTTTTTTCCGCGTCGCTGACGTTCCGATAGTATGACGCGCAACAATCGTGTAACGTTTCCTTGCCTAGGGCACCAACAAATTTAGAAAAGTGAAACTCGCGCTCGGCTAGTGGTCGACGAAATTTTTTTCTCTCGAGAAAGTGAATCCTGACGTTGATTTATGTATACTTGCGCTATATGCGCAGCATGCTTGATATAATTGGCATGAATTCGCGCATTTCGCATCGTAATGGATGAATTATCTTATCTCTCTGTATTATCTCATTATTTCACTTTGCACGATCTTGAAAAGAAAAGCAATCTTGAATTTTTTTAGATCGCAGATTTGATTATTAGGATAAGGATCAATAAATATGAGGTGGAATAATAGACAGAGTATTTATTAAGTTTTTAATATAAAAAGATACTCTTTGCACAATCCATTTTTCACTTAACTTACTTAGGTACAACGTTTCTGAGTATGGTAAACATACTTCACAGCAATACTACGCATGGACATAACGGGTTGTCGCAAATAAGCCAATATAGCGCCAGCAGGCCAATATATTAAGCCGTTAATGTTCGCTGAAACTCGTATTCGCAGTTACGATTTTTTTTTTTTTTTTTTTTTCGTAATGCAGAAATGTAGTTGTGTATGCGGAAAATGTTTGTTTGGATTTTCAATGTGCTAATTTAATGATATGCGCGATTCGTTATCGCGGTGAAGAGAAGACCCGATAGAATAGTCGATATTTCATCTATACTTTAATATAAAACCTAAGAATATTTCGGTCGAAATAATTGCTACAATTATTTCCGGAAATATAATACAAAGAGATACGTCGATGAACTCGTCAATCTAGCTAATTATCACCCGCATATTCCTCCCAATGCGCTAATCTCGGGACACTGAAATCTTTGCTCAAGCGTCTAAAATTTTGTACATAGCTCCCGAGATTGCTTCTCGAAGATTTTGCTAAAGCGGTCCGGCGAAAGAGTATTGCGATCTGCAAAGAAGCGCGCGATTACGTTGCGAACGCGAGAGCGAGAAGAAACGCTTTCCCGACGCTCGTTTCGCGTGTCCGTTTCGCGTCGTCGCAAGGATCAACCGTGATACGAATGCACGTCGTAACCGCCACCGTCGCCTCCGCCGCCGCCGCCGCCGCCGCCGGAGTGCAGATCGTAGCCGCCACCGGAGTGCAGACTGTAGCCGCCACCGTCACCGTAGCCGCCACCGTAGCCGCCACCGTCACCGCCCAGATCCCCGTGGTGCTTCGGTATGTGCACCGGCACGGCGACCGGGACCTTAACGGGCACCGGTACTTCCTTCTCGACCGGGACCGGCACCTCCTTCTCGACGATGTAGGGCTTGTCGACCGGCACCTTCACCGGCACCGCGTACGGTTTCGGCACG